AGTTGAGAAAAAGCAGAAACTCTTAGTTACAGAGGTGGACACACACACACACACTTGACATTACTTGAGATTTAGCATGTTCGGTCTGAATGCCACAGGCCCTGAAGATGTCTATGTAAGCCAAACAGGCTAAATCGACAGATTCAAGTCTGAGCATAAGAGCAGCGGCATCCTGCATACTGTTCATATTTTTGGTGTAAATTCTTGGGACCCTTTTTTGTTCATGCGGTTTCTCTTTTCAGAAGGTTTTGTGTTGACTTTTGATTCTCGTGGTGTATTACTGAGATGGCCGACATTCATTGCGTGGCTCAATGTACACTGCAATAGGTGCACATAGCAATCCCACGAAGACAGAAAAACATATCTTGACAACAAAATGCAATGGTTTCTACAATATCACCCAGGGACACGTGAACGTTTGGGTGTGAAATGAGGCATTGCATTGCACCATTGCATGTTGAAGTTTTTTCTTAGAGTGTGATGTATGGAGGGCAACGATGAAGCCAAATGTCTTCATCGCCACTTGGAGCAACTTAAGGCAACACTGACATCAGAAGATCAGACCAGCGTAATTCCCAATGTATTAGAACCTGGTGGCTTCTTTTGAAGCTCATTTTGATGTGCGAGAAGAACCGGCCCATTCCAGAACTCGACAGGTGAAGAAAAAACTAGGGCTCAATTGGAGAGCCCTTTGAAGTACAACAAGAAAAAGTTGAGCAGATTGTTGAAAGAAAAGCAGGACATAAAGGGAACAAAAGACAAGTATGGTATGCTCTCCCGCTCTGTGATATTACGGGTGATGCTGGCAGATACATCGCTACCTTCGAGAAATTTGGCAACTTTGCTCAATGAACATGCACTGAGCGGGGAGCAAGTGATCAGCCACCCGAAGGTTGGTAACGTCCGGGATGCCTTTGTGGAGCAAATCAAAGAACTATCTGCCAAGCAACTACCTACACCACTCCTTTAGTCGAGCATGCGCTGAAAAGAAAAGTTTGTCTATTGTAATTTCCCATGTCCACGATGGAGCCGACATGAGAATGCGCAGCTATACCTGTACGCTGGAGAGTTCCGAAGACTGCATTCTGCCTCGAAACGCTCCCAAGTTGTCACGACAGAAGCGTTCCAAAATTCAAACCCATTCGGTTCAAATCCATGGTTTGGACACAGAAGCTTTGCCTTGGTATGTAGAGTTGCAGCCGCTCAAAAACAAAACCAAAGAGGTTGTGGCAACTTCAATCATTGTAGCTCTGAACGGGGTATTGGCTGCCTTGCTGAGTCCCGAAGATGTGCGAGACGAATTGCCCACAGTGCTACATGTACTGATGGGAGACTCTATCAATACCAACGAGGCAGCTTGTCGCATTGTTCTTCACTATTTCAGGGAAATCTCTTCCTTTCGGAGACGCATGACTTACCGGCTCATTATGTGGAGGTGTGCAGCGCACAAAGCAGCCCTTGTTACGGTCACAGCTATTTGTGGCCGTTAGATGGTCAATCCCGTTGACGGTAATGAACTTTGCGGGTGATCTCGGGATAGCCGATGGGGGCCGACCCATCCTAGGCCATGTCCTTAGGCTAGTTCAGGGCCCTTACTTTCCTGGCAGGCAGGTTTGCTTGCGGATTTTACACGTCTCCGTGTCCTTTCACAAAGAGGAGCGGTTCGTGCTTGGACATGGGCTTTGTTTCTCGAGAATTCTAGTGCCAAGTTGGGAGTGCCATTGGATGATGACAACGATGAGAAGCTGAAGAGCTTCCCCTCCGAGACCTTGGATGATGAGGCCTTGTCCACCTTGCACACGTGGTACGTGACCAAACTCGGTCAGAAAAAGGCCAAACTAGCCATGCGAAATTGCAGCCGCGCATGGATGGCTGGAAGAGCAGAGCTGACAAGGCGAAGGAAGAAGCTTTGGCTGCCGGTCGCGCCGCAGAGAAGGGTGGACACAAAGAAGCTCATCAGCCATCCCCCCCTGCGGCTGTGACTCATGGAAGGAAGGAGACGTTGCCATTGCTCTCCCTGGCAAAAGAAAGTCAGAGTTCGACCGCCAAGAAGGTGTCGTGCTCAAAGCGCTGGCCAAAAAGCTCCGTCTGGAGTTCAAGCGCTTGGGAGAGACAAAGGATGTGGACAAAGACAGATGCCAAAACGCGGCCAAGAGTGGACGTCAGAATGCCGAAGAGAAGAGGGAAGAGAAGAAGGAAGATAAACCTTCGCTGACGGAGCTCTTGGGCTCAGACGTGGTGGACGATTAGGAAGACAACAACCCGCGCCTGAAAAAGTAGCAGCCTCCTTTGACCGCTTAGTGACTTAGTGTCCTTCGCTTTTTGGGTGACGAGGGTGGACTAACGACATTTTTCACTATTTCCAATGAACAATATTCAGACATTAGACAACACTATTTGACACTATTCCACACTATTCCAATATTGCACAGGTCGTTGAGGGCTTCCAACATTTAACAGCTACATAATGAATTCCAAAGTCCATATTAGCTCAAAAGTGCGAACACGTTCCCACGACCGACGGCTGGCTCACAAACGAAAATTCAAAAGTTACACAGACTTGTGGACCCGAATGTAGTGTCAAGCTCTAGATAGACAATTGGTTGATCGATAGATGGTAGATGGCACCAAAGCGGCTAGGATAGATAGACTATATAGATCGATAGGTAGGTATATAGATAGGTAGGTAGGTGGATAGATCCTGACACGGTCTTGTAGGCAGATAAAGTTCAGTTTTCAGTTTCGTGCGCTTTCCAGGGGTCTGGAAAAGGCGGGGTGCGCAAGCTCTTCTGATCTCGGCTCATTGAGCTCGCACAAAGACAACAGTTCAGAACGACGACAACCTCTATGGCGATCATTTGGATCAAGTAATGCTCTCACTCACGGGTCAAGTTGCCTGACCAAATCAGCTGCACAAATTCAGGATGTCATATTCATAGAACTTTGTGGATGCCTCAAGCATCTATTCAAGCTTCGTCATAGCAATGAACACAGAGCCGCTGGACGAGGTGTAGCAGAAACTGAATTCCCACCCTGTGCCAGTTACGCCGTGACAGGGAAATCTACCTGCTACGGGGACAGTTCAACCCGCGCCTCCTGAATCAACAGGGCACGCAGGTACCCATTGAGTTTCGTGACGGGTTCCTTGCAAATCATTGAGCAGGAACCATCCAGTGGGGTGGAACGACCTGCTCAGTTCAGCTTGGAGAAGGATAGGAAGATCGTAGAAAGATAGATCGACAGAGACAAAAGATAATTAGGTAGGAAATTGACATGTAGATTGACAGATAGATAGATACGTGTTGGCTTCTTCATTCAAACTTTGTCAAATCAACTACCCTTTATTCTTGTACCGTATTATGTCACACCACGCGTTTAAATGCTCAGTTCATCTCATAGGCCCAGGTGTTCATTTAATCTAATCATTTGTTTACTGAAAATCATCAATCTCGCATTCTTTGTGATCGTGCGAGTTGCCCAAAATGGGCAGAGCGAATGAGCTTCACGAACCCTCCTCTCATGGATCAGAGCCCTGTAAGGATCAAAAAATGAACAAGGTTGCTGCCAGAGACGATTTGATCTCGTTGTTCATCCGAAAAAGAGGGTGAATAGTGGTTTCCGCACGAGAGGGACGGATTCGGAGAGCCTTCCAGGGCCTTCCCCATGAAGTCCGGGGGCGTTTTGTTTGTAGAAGAACGGATGCGGACAGACGCCACTGCAGAGAGCCATCTAGAGGGCTTGAGATTGATTGTATGGGAATGTTGGAGTTGCTCATGCTAGCTGCTATGGTGGATGGGGCAGCACTCCATTTACTGTTGCAGGATGGTGCAAGAATAGAGGTGCCTCAGACGACGGCGGAGGAGCCTTCCTCGAATGAACTTGAATGGTGGTTTGGCAGTTCAAAGTTCGAACCTCTTCGTTTTGCAAGTAGACACTGTTTGCTGGCTTGTTGAGGACTTTGTTCGTGGCTCGGCATCAGCTTCAGAGTGCCGGACAATCACTTAGAACACATCGGTGAGAAAAAATAACAAGAACATTGAGCTGCTAAACCTGACACTTAGAACATGATAAACCCATCACTTAGAACAAGCAGAGCTCATTTTTACTAAATTTATGTAAATTTGTAAGTGCTTGTCCCTCATTATCAAAGGTTGGGTAAACATTTGACGTGATTGGGTTGAAATACTGTAGGGTCGCCACTAGGAGCAAGGACGCTACTAGGGGCTCCTGGCCTTACTACTAGGAACAAGGTTCGCTACGAGCAAGGACGCTACTAGGGGCTCCTGGCCTTACTGCTAGGAACAAGAAGCTACTGCTAAGCTACTATATAATAACAAAGACAGGGCATCGCTACTAGGAGCAAGGACCTACATATGCACATACGAGCATGTATATGTTCTAAGCGCAGGGATTTCAATTGTTCCAAGAGCAAGGCTTAGAACACGGATTGTTTGTTCTATGTGTGGGGTCCTCGGCATGTTCTATGTGACACTTCTTTTTTTGGTGAAAAGTATGTTCTAAGTGGTTGTCCGTCACTACAAAGTGACCTCGCTTGAATCGCAAACAAACTAGACCCCTTCGTGACAGATATGATGCTAACACAAGATACTATAGCGGGCGGGAGCTAAGTGTCCCTTATCTAGGAACCAAATCATTAATGCGAGCGCTTCTTCAAGGACGCTCCCCCCGCCGCCTTTAGCCAGGGGAGCTTCCTTGAAGAAGCGTGAGCTATCCTGCGTCCTAGCTAAGGAGCTTCCTATTGCTAGCAGCGAATGAGTCGCCCTTACTTAAGTCAGTAGGGGCCTGCCTTTTGCCGATCGCCACAACAGGCAGACTCGGGTCGATGCACAGAGCTTTGGGCCGTGAGAGTTTGCTGTGGGGGTTGCCAAAGTTGCGCCGGCGAGCCACACTCCATTGCGAGATGACAAAGGAGGCTGGACCATACTTCAACTATCAACAAATTTGGTTTGCCAGACTGCTCCGTGGTTTTCACACCTGAAAGGAATATGAATGGAGCAGCATGCATGCGCCTTTTCTTGAGTTCTTTTCGGTGACAGACTGCTGGCATTGTTTGCAGACGTGGTGAATCTGGCGGAGGATTTAAAATTTCATCTCAGGTTGCAATGCAGTGTGATCCGCGTGCTTCCCGCCAAATGGTCCTCGTTGATGCTGACAAGCAGGTGGGGGCAAATGGCCTTTATCCCACTATTGCCTTGACTTTTTAAAGCAATTGTGACTGCACGCCTTGCATCATATGTCCATGCCCAACCGGTGCTCGTGGTAAAGAAACAAGTGCATTGTGGCAATCCTTCAGCCCTTCAACAAATTAAGAGTAGTATTAAGAGTATTCAGTATTGATCACTAGTTACTAGTTAGTTTCCTCATAGACTCATAGCGGTTCCAAAGCCCCCTTATAAAATGGTCCACTCGTTCTCTTACAAAATGACTTTCCGAGGGGCATTCTACAATGGACCATGCTTTCAGAATTTGCTGATACCAGCTCTTAACTCATTGTTAAAAAAAGAACTTGTCGGGGATACTTTGGACAACGACTTCAAGATCATGGGGAGGTTGGCAAATGCATTTTGTAAAGGTCCTGTTTGGGACATTGATGGAAGTTGAACTACGCGGTAAACTCATTCAACAATTGTCAAGTGCTAATCTTTTTGGCCATGAGATTGCACAGCTTCATTCTGGTCCTGAGTTCCCTGATGAATCTGAAGCTTTTTCTCGGACGACATCATTGTCCAAATCCACATAGGGGAAAAATGGTTGACACCCGAAAGCTTTCCAGCACCAAATCCTGCTGCAGACAAAAGCAATACCCAAGGGTCACCTTCAAAATCAAAATCTCTTGCCGGGCCGGAAGCTTTGTATTTGGCCATCCCAGCAACTCAAGGGAGGAAGAATGTCCTGCACAAGGAGTCTTGCAAGGAAAATGACCATCCTATAAAGAAAAACCCGGCCCACACTTTATAGAATGACAATCGTAAAGGAAAAACCAGCCCCCCAGGTTTGAGTTTATAAAATGACCATCATAAAGGAACATCCAGGCCCCTCCACTCCCCCTCCCCAGGTTTGAGTTTATAAAATACAATGACAAGTCACCCAAAGAAACCTCTTCAATATATGAAAAAAGAGAACAACAACATGATGGATGAAGATAATGATAGAAAGACAGCAATCCCATATTTTAAGGGGACTATTAATTCCTAGAATACCAAGAAATACAAGGGGAACAATGAAAGACACAGAAACGCGCATAAGATTACAACAGGGAACATCCACCAAGATAATTACATCTAAGAACAAATAAGAGGATGAAAGGAATAAAACTCATCAAAAATTAAAAAACAAAAGGTAGAGACGAGAGGCAAGGCAGCGAATGGCAAAACCGAGCTGTATGTGTTGCGGCATTCGCATTTTGTAAAGGTTGATATCCTTGACAATCGAACTACGGCATTTGCATTCAATAAATAATCTAGGTTTTTAGTGTGGCTCTCCCAATAATTTTGTAACCAGGTATTTTATTTCATAAACGGGGCCGGCGTCTATTTATATAACAACAGCAAATACCAATTTTATAAGCAGTTTTGGTTGATTTTCAATTTTATAGCCTGCATGTATTTGTAAATTGCAAAATCCGCGACCCCATGACCTTCTGAAGGGGTATGTTTCCTCTTGTGAACGGAAGCATCATGGACGTTCTTTGCACTTATTTGCCAGGTTGTTTTTTGTCACACATTCCTGGACCCTGAGCTTTAGCTGCACAGATGCCTGATCACATCACCAGTATCATCCATTACCCATGCTTAGGACTACCCGATGCCAACTCCTGGCCGAGGACTCGTGGAACCCGGACATTTGGATAAAGTTGGAATCCCCGTTTCATATTCCGCACCAGTTTGCTGGTGCCATTTAGTTGCGGGGGGCAGTACATGGCACCTTACTGCAAAGGCCGATCACATCCAGAATGGCCGAGCAACCTTATTGCCAAACAAACGCGGTTCATCAGCTAAAAAAACTCTGACACAAGCGGGAGATGACATGAATGCACCATGTCAGGAGCCCAAGGAGCTTTCCGAAAAGTGAATGAGAAGGGCGTTGCACGTGATTTGCATCACTGTTGGCTCCTGCGGCGTCTTCGGAAATTGCGCATCTTGCCTCCCATGTAGATAATGCAAAGAGGGTCACATTTTTTATTTTCTTTTTCGATGTTGAGTTCACTGAGTTTTACACTTAGGCGGACATTCGAACATCATGGACGAGCGCTTCAATTTCATGCACGCGCACGCTTTGCTGAAGAAACATGAATGGATTTTCGATGACGCCTTCGACCATTCCAATCAACCGTTGAGGACTCTTCCTGATTAAAGACTAGCAATTGTTTGTGGGGCTTGGTTGATATGAGCTGAAACAGCATCAGACAACAGGCACTACAAAGCGGATCAGCTTGCTTCAGTACTGTACATCGGTGTTTGGAATACATACGCATTATCGATTCTCGATCCAAATATTTGCATTTGAGAGTTTCACATGGCCCACAAGGGCAGAATCCCAGAAGGATCTTCAGAATGACTTTTATATGCACGATGGTGGGAGCAATAGCTTTCACCTTGAAGCTGTGGCAATGAAGTGAGGTCAAGAGTGCTTCACTAGAATGTCCATGCTTCGGAATCACATCACGGCACCAATATGCCTCTGTGAATGAAATTCCATAAGTGAGGTCACAGGCAAAGGATGCCAATGCCCAGCGTATGTGGAAAGAACCCTTGCAGGCTGAGGGAACGCACAGCTGAATCTTGAGCATCCAATCCCTCAGAAGCACTCAACAAACCCATATAAGTCACATCGCTACTTATCACCAGGCGAACCTGAGTCAGCATCGTTGCGACAGTATGCATTCTTCAAAAAGATGGAAACATCCTGGGCATTTTCTCCCGCAAAGTTTGCAGATGCTCTTCAGCTTTTGCGTGTAAGGTGTCATCTAAATCCAAAGCTTGCAAAGGCAGCGGGTGTTTATATGTGAAGCTTACTGTATCGCTTCCAGAATGTGGACCACAGCCTTAGCAACGTAGCAGTTGATTTGTGCAATGGCGGGGCTGGGTTATTGCTTTCCAACTCTGTGACGATGCTGATTCTGTGGGGCTGCATCACAATTGCAAGCCACATTGTTTTGACAGGCGCGAGTAGCTGCCTTGCAGATTGCGGGGGAGCCGGCGCCCAAGTGCCTGTCATGGAGTCCTGGACTCTTAGATTCATCCCAGCCCGTCCTGATGGGTGCTGAATGGGGTACTGAAATGTACTGAAGCACTTGAGGGACACCACGCCAGTCACTTTAGTTCTAGCTCTGTTGGTTCGGGTCATGACTCATAACGGTTCAAGGATGTTGTTGATGATATATATTGTGCCTCTTGCAGTGACTTGGTGTCAACATTCTTGCTCAGGGAGATTCCTAAAGAGCTCATCGATGCGGCAAATCAGCATTCAAAGCCAGAAGAGGACCAGATCCAGACCAACGATACCAACCGATATGAACTGATACTGTACCTCCAACCTGCCGGTCACATCTTATTTATCATTCAGTATATAACGAACATGAAAACCCCGTGTGCCCTTCGAGGAGCAGCCGATCGTATGGGAAGGCCGGGGTGAGTAGGGATGCTCAGAAAGGCTAGCTGCTAGCTGCTTCGTCCCAGAGGCTTCTCAGATTTTTTCTCTCCACTTAGATTCATTGCGTTTCAATGAGATTCTTGTCCTGTGATTTCTTCGCGTGCTTAGGCAATCTTGTCCTCTGGGTGCCAAGGCCAGCTGGCTTGTTCAGTATGACACTGGTGCACTGGCCTCCTTGTTGACATTGCTGAGGAAGATCGAAAGCGCACACGAGGCGTTGTTGGGAGTGATCAGAATCCAAGGGCGTTGTATATAATTTATGTAATGCTTGGCAACCACGTGGTGAGTTGGTGCATTTCCAACGTGGCAGATGGTCGTGATCTTGACCTTCCTCGGGAAGGGCGCAGACGGCGCAGAGGTAGTCGCGACCGGCGAGAGTCAGGGTCTTGGAGAGTTAGATGGGTGCCGAGACAGAAACCAATTGATCATTCTCATGGCGCAAACCGTAATGCAGCGCACTCGTCAGTGTTCAGGTCGGATCAGTTGCGAAGCCAATCGTCAGGCAACCCAGGTGTTTGCAATTGTTTGCACATGCATTGCCCCCAACATGACATGCAGTCCGAGCTGCAATCATCCTTTGTTTCCTGAGGCGGAAACGCCGCCGGCAGCAAGGAGAAGTTCCAGATGCCAAGAAAATTGCCAGACAGGTACCTGCTTAGCCTGCTTGAGGGAGTGATAGGGAGTGACATGGAGTGGCTGGATTGGGCATACTATTTCCACATCTTGTAGGAAGCACGAGGACGCACAACTCATGGCAAGCAACTGACCCCGGATGCACATCCCTTTGCGCTTCACAACTCAATGGCTCAGGGTAACAATCTGAGTGACAATGACTGAACATGTGGTGCAACGATTTTGTGCCAGTGGAGAGACAAGCACATGTACTGCAGTCTGCCACGAGAGAGTCTAGCCCGTATGACGATGTACGACAAACTAGAGGCAAGAAAAAGCAAAAAGAACAAGTCTATATAAAGGCCTAAAGATGAACAGACAAAAAACAACCATGTTTGAGAAGCGATTTGTGCCCCGGTGCAGGTCGCTGAAAACTTGCTGAGCGAAGACCGACAGGGTGAAGAGGAGGACGAGGTGGGGAGGTGTAGAGGTGGGTGGAGGATGAGGATTGGCATGGATTGGCTGGTCACAAGAGCCAAAAGAGGAAACAAAGGTGCTTGGGCCCAATTTCGGAACTTGTCAAAGGGGACCTTTCCATATCTTTTTTTCAACTCTTTTCACTCCTGACTGCGGTCTAGTTGTAAACGTTTTGATGTTTTCAGATGTTGACAGTCCATATGATGTGCTAGTCCTTGGCTTGAAGCCTCACGTTTGGCCAGGTCGAAGCAGTCCCGAACACAGAGCTCTTTGTTTTGGGTTCTTCGGAGTTGGCAGCCTAAAGCATTGACCCCCTGCCACTGGCTGTCAGCATGTTGCATGCGAATTGTTGCTTGGAGTCGTTACAATCAGGTCATACTCCTACGAGTGGGAAGGTGATGAAGAAGAGATTGAGAAAGCGAAGGACAGATATACTTTTCGCGTGCCAATTTGGTGGCTTCTTTATGCATTCCTCTTTGCCTTCTCTTGTCTCTCCTTCTCTCTTTCTCCCTCTCTAATTATCTCTCTCCCCCTCTTTGTTTGCACTCTCGCCCTATCGTGGGCAAAACTGTGTTTGCCTCAGCACCATCGCCCTCTGCAGGCGGCGCACGCTGCAGAAAAACATAGGATCAAGGAAGCACGAAAAGCGGAGGCAGAGCGCAAAGCCGAAGAACAGAGAAAAGCGGAGGAAGAGAGAAAAGCGGAGGAGCTTCGGAAGTTGGAGGAAGAGCGGAAAGAGGTTCAGTTCTTAATCATATACTGTAATGAGAGGTTATCTATCCAGCTCTCAGTAGTTTTGTTGTATATATGTGTGTGTGTGCCTGACCAGTGGAAGGGCAGACTTGGCTCAACCATTCCTGGCCTCTGTGCGAGCAGGCAGAACTCAAAGCCGAGGAAGCAAGACGAGAAGCAGAAGCTGCTGAGGCTGTTTGTCAGCCTGAGACTTTTGTTTTTTGAATTGGTGATGTGCTCATTGTCAGGAACTCTTTGTATGCAAGCCTGATGTTAGGAAGTTAGGAACGTTAAGATCCTTGGCCCGAATTTTCAACATTGTAGTTATGTTGTTGGCTTGGCAAGCCACAGGGACTGGCACCGCCCCCCACTCTACTTTATTCCACTCTTCTTCGACGTATACAACTCTAGACTCTAGCCAAAATCAAAATGCATGTTCCCGTTGCTCAGGCAAAGCAGAAAGAAGAAGAGGTTGCTCTTGTTCGTAGCTCCTCTCAGGAGACAAGCCGGCTACAACACAGCCAATATGCACTGCCCTGTGATCATCCTTTCCTAATGTAGAGCTTCTCAACTCGTAGATGTTTCAAGCCTTGTGATGCTGGAGCACTTTGGAAAGGCTTGCATCGCAGCTGCCCAGCATCGTGACTGACAAACTCTGACATGCACACGATTCCAGACACACAGGAGCATACAGAAAGCCACAACACTACAGAACACCGTACGCCTCTCCCATAATGTGTGCAGCCTTTTCTTCTATTGAAGCTGATTGAGGCCAAGAGCTTTAGATTTACAGAACGGTCATTTCTCCAAGACACACCAGCTATAAATCCCGTTTCCCGTTTCGCTGCTTTTCACGCCAGCCTCTTCGCAATGGGGCTGTCCGTCAGCATCAACGCATCAGTTGTTTCGAATGTGGGATGGCAATGCTCGATGCAAGCAGCTGCCGCTCAGCCCTCAGCTTCCAGCCTAAACTTCGGATTGGGAAGGATTCATGACACTGTGCACACATGACATAACATAATATTCGATGTTCGGCAGCGTTGAACTTGAGGCTTCTGCCAGGCGGACCTTGAGCCCTCAGGCCCTAGAAGCTTGATGAAGCGTACCGCAGCTAGCAGCCAACATGTCTTGGACAAAAGCACCGAAAATTTATTGCAAGCACTGAAGATTAGAACATGCAGGGTCAGGTGCGATCTGCTCCACCCTACCTGCCAGTGCCAGAAGCCCAGTTGTTGAACTTAGGCATTGTTGATCATTTTTGCTGAACTGTGCCTCAGCAAGAGCTGCACGGATCGAGCTTGTTATTGCCTAGGCTTTGTGCTTGTGCAGGTCCGTATCCCAATATTGTGCGCGTGAGGGGTCACGCGAGTCGCGAAGAATCTCACTGTCTCATGAAGGGCGAAGGAGCTATAAGTTCAAAATATGGATATATATATACAATGTCCTTTACGACAAGCCACCTTTATCGTTCACGTTGACTCCATGACAATGACAATCCCAAATAAAGGTAAGAAATCCTTTGGATACCCGTCTTCTGGAAGTTATAGACCGTACCACGTTTGATAGAGTCTGATCGAGTTGCCAAGCTCACCACCTTGGCGACTCCACTAGCTTATTTAGCTTTTCAATGCTTTGCATTTTGCTGCATACCATACCTGTTTGGCCATTTCGAGCACACCGGTAGAAGCACTGAGGGGGCTGGTGGCGACCCAAGCGTCGATGGGTGAGAGCTTGTGGCGTGAAGGCTCTCCCCCGTTGAAGAGGGTGCAGAACAAGTTCTAGAAGAATCATGTTGGGTGCAGAGGAATTGTATTGAGACCACAGTACACCGTAGAAAGAGACTACAGTACTGATGTGTATTGGTTCAGATTGCTTCACAGAGCTGGTACAGTAGGGCCACAACCTGAACTTAAACTTTTTTCAAAACTTTTTGTCGACGACAACTTAATGCCAGCCATCCAGTCCAAGGGATTTTACCATGCAATCCAAGATTGCGTTCTTTGACGAGGCACTGCAAAGATCTCGCGAGAGCCAGTTGGACGGACCAGAACTAGCGCTGAGAGTCGGCGCGGAATCGGCACAGAATTTGGTGCCTGGACTACGCCTTTGGCCAGATTTCCTCAGTGAAGAGGAAGGCGACGGGACCCTTGAACTTGGTGACTCGAAGTCTATCGGCCCTGTGCGGAGGAAAACGACTGGCGGAATATTTGGACCAGAATGGGCCATCTTGGAAGAAAGAGCAGTTCGGTGTGCCCACGCTCTACCATGCCACATGGCCAGAGCAGAATCGTGGTTTTGGAATCGTATTCTGTTTGGCACTTGCTCACACAACCTTCCAAGTCCACCTGCAGTTACTTGAATGCCCCAAGCACAGGCCTGACAAATGGAGAGTTTGTTCACCCCCCATCCGAAAACACTCGGGGTCCAAGCGGAGGCCAAGTTCTATCAAATTCTCCAGACTGCAAGGTAAAACATTTTGGCGCTTTGGGCTCACTTAGACCTCGGCTAGTTCGCTTCTCGTCCGCACATCATGGAACAGTTTGGAAGTTCCACTCTAGCAGTGCGTTGATGTGCTGCAGTGCTAGAGCGAGGATTGCCAGATCCGACTCGGGGCGAGTTTGACTTGCCGGAAGAAGGGATACTGGCAGAGGCAGGGTGCACATGAGCTGTACACAGACCTCTCCACAACTTTTGGAATCCTTTGCTGGTAAGGTGTCTGCAAGATTAGCCAGTGGAGAGATGCCGTGGAGCAGCGTGCTCAAAGGTTTTATCCCCAATGAGGTGTGGGTGTGAAGAAGCGTCGGCTTTTTGCTACACCAGCTTTGCCTACTGGCTTGTCCTAAACCTTGTCTAGGGGCAAAATGACTTCAAAGGCCTCGCATTGCACGGACATGTTCAGGCAAACGTCAATGACTACAGCAGATCTGAAGGCTCCAAGCTTTTAATGCACTGGGACGACCGTGGCTTATACGAGGAACCTGTTTGCTCTGTAACAGTGCTGGGAGAGTGCATCATGACCTTTCGACCGAGCGGGAGATCCAACTTCAAATCTACATCGGCTGAGGAAGGCCGAAGGGTCTTGTCAAAGATGGCATGAAAGCATGGCCGTTCATCTAGAACCTTCGCACTGACAAGGCGTATACAATGCTGATAGGGTCACGTGCTCGTTGAACAATCAGATCTCCAATTGGGCATGCCAGTTTTGCAGTGGTGAGCAGGGATGACCTTGGCAAGATCAGGTGAGGGGCCATCAGTGCGTTTGCTGGTGCCAGAGCGCTCTCTCCTGGTCCTGAAGGGGGCTGCCAGCGTCATGACTGCAGTGAACTGGAAGAGCAGTTTCCTGATGTTTCCTGCATTTCCAAGATTTGTCATCACATATTCTTGTGGATCCAAGTTGCGCATCAAGCGGAGTGAGGATACGAGTGGCAACATGGAATTCCGGAGCCAGTGGCTTGACCACAAGGGAGTGGGCAAACGTGGCCTTTATATGCCTTTATTTTGATCGAAAAGGAGGGAAACTCGTCAATCTGAAATCGAGAGGACTCATTGCACCAAAAACGCCCTGAGAAGGGTCAGAACAAAAGGCCGCAAACTGCAAACAACAAAAGAATACAAAAGTTAAGACAAACAATATCAAATACTTAAACATCCCGCCGGGTGTGGAATCGCACGTGTAGTCGTGCAAATTTTGATTCAAAAGTGCAAACCCTCTCAGTACTTTTGCTTGTTCGATGATGTTTTTTGGGGGTCCCGGATCCTTTCATTTTTAAAGCCGAATCTGCCGAAACCCAAGCGCCAGCGCAAAATCCGTCGCCGTTTTTGTCCCGGGCTGTCCTCAACTTTCATGCGTCCTGTCTCAAGTAGACTTGCGCAGTTTTTTGCACATTTTAGTACACGTGGTGTTTTCCCAACGCCACTGCCATCCGCGAATCACACGACTAATCGATGAGAATGTTATGAAACCGATGACAATGCTATGAAACCGAAGATTACTTGTCGTGAAATCGATGACAATGTTCTCAGCATGACATCCACATCCTCATTCCATCACCCCCCCCACCCC